GTATTTCACTTGTCTTGAATACTGACATGTAAATAGGGCTCTAATCTTGACTAGTTATTTTCCCAGTCAAATTAGAGACTATTGGTGGGAGTTTGGGGTGAAGTATGATACAGTTGAACCCCTATTGAGCGGCCACCTTTTAAACGCTCACCCCTATTAGGCGGCCAGCAATTGAAGTCCCAATGATGGCTTTTCTATTGTTTCTATCGCTATTAAGCGGCCAACCCCTTTTAAGCGTCCACAATCCATTTCCCCAAGGGTGGCCGTTTAATTAACTGTAGTTGAAAGTAGAAGCACTAGGTTTGAAAAGCTGCACGAGTTTACATTTGTACTCCAAACTTACACCCGCTTTCAGTGTTACGTGCATAGGTACGCAACACCTTTTGCCCATTTTTTGACAAGCCATTTTTCAACATGCAATGTAGAGACCATTTAACTGTGAAACTGGCAATTTTTCTGGTTATTAGCTGAAGAAATGACAAATAAATGATAATTACTAACCTCAAATGGCTGAAGAAGATTGTGGACTTTTCATGTTTTCTGATTTACAGGATAACTAAAGCAATTTGAGTGTAATCTATTGGCTCTCAAGAGTGACTTCTGGTAGAATCAGGCCATTATGGCTTTTAATATTTGCAGGTTGTAAACATTCAAACCAGAAGTTTTATTTCTCCCAGAATGACTTCTTGATACTCCCAACCTTAGTTTGATGTCAAATAAATCCATCTTTTATTACTAAAATTTGAATTCGACCATAAAGAAGTCTGTTGTGCTTACATTTGTCACATAAGCCAGGTTACATAGCATGTCAAAAGATAGCATGGCAAAAGATGTTGCCTATACATTTAACACTGAAAGTGGTGTAAGGCATGTCTACTTTCAGACCAAGTGAGTCATACAACTGAATGGTGTTTATCTTGTTTTCTATAATAACACGAAGGTTGCCACTCCCCCTGTGCATGTATGGAATGCTTATTCAAGGCAGGCAATCACTGTATGGCCAGCTTTTGTCTTAATGGAGCTACCTTAAAGAGCYCACCATCCGGCTTATTATTTCTTGTTTGTGTTGTTCAACCTCCATTAAGAAAACTATACTTTCTTGAGGTTTCCTTCAATTGAAAGAAATTTTGTTCATCTGAAAAAAAGTTTGAAATACTGTAACATAGTATAGTTCCTGAAAGTTGCCGGTTGGACAAGGAGTCTGAATTTTCCATTTTCAGTAGTTTTTACTTTGGAATCC